TTTAATTTGCATTTCTCTAATGGCTAGTGATCTCAAGCATTTCCTCATGTGTCTGTTGGCCATTTGAATGTCTTCTTTGGTGAAGTGTCTGTTCATTTTCAATGGCTGATTTTTAAGAAGTAGATCTCAGGCCCTTCTTTTCAGGAGCCCCTGGGTGGACTTGAACTTCCAGTCTTTCAGTTAGCAACCAAACATGTTAACCATTGCACTACTCAGGGTCAGAATAAAATTACGGTGACAATAAGCCCATAAAGGAAAGGCTGGAGATTGTAGAGGAAAATGCTTTAGTGATTGTCTTAGTTTGGGTTTAAGAAAAGAGCCCAAGAGGTACCATCGGAGAGTGGGGAAGGGAAGGAAGCTAACAATGTGTACATTCTGTCTCTGAGGATTGCAGGGAACTGGGGTGGAACACAAGCGTCAGAGATATGGGGCGAGAGCTGGAGTATTAATCCACTAATTTCCATACACCATTCGTTGAGGGCTGCTTCCAGGGCCATTAATTCCTCAGTGTGTCTAGTGTGGTTTTGATTTCAGCCTCTGGCAAAGAGCTGTTGGTGCTGACCTTTGGAAGCAGCCAGTCAGCATGATTGTTAAGAGGACATGGGTGGGCGGTTATTAACTCTTTTGGAGAACCTGGGTGCTGGAAACTCCTTCAGGACTCTTTCAGGTCTGGCCAAATGTCACAAGAGCACTGGTGGCACAATAGTTAAACACTCAGCTGCTAACCGAAAGGTCAGTGGTTCAAACCCACCAGCAGCTCTGTGGGATAAAAGATCCAGCGGTCTGCTCCCGTAAAGACTACAGCCTAGGCAACCCTACGGGGCAGTTCTGCTCTGTCACACGGGGTCGCTATGAGTCCGAATAGCCTCAACGGCACACAGCAACAACAAGAAATGCCACTTTTATACTGAAGCACTCCCTCTCTAAAGGAGGACCTCCCTTAGCTGTCCTCCCTTTTATCCTCCCCTCAGTCCCTGTTTGGTTTCCTCTTAGCATGTTTCAGTTTGGTTCATTTATTTTGACTGTCTCCCTCTCTAGAATGTAACCTCTGTAAGGACAAGAACCATGTCTATCACCTTGAACACTGTATCTCTAGCAGAGTTGCCAGATTTAGCAAATAAAAATACAGGCTGCCCAGTTACATTTGAATTTCAGATAAACCACATATAATTTTTCGTATAACTATGCCTAAATATTGAATACCAAAAAAATCCATTGCCATCGAGTCAATTCCGACTCCTAGTGACCCTATAGGACAGAGTAGAGCTGCCCGCACAGGGTTTCCAAGGAGTGGCTGGTGGATTTGGACGGCCGACCTTTTGGCATAGAACACATTTGATACTAAAAATTATCTGCAACTTGTCTGAAATTCAGATTTAACTGGGTGTGGTGTGTTTGATCTGGCAACCCTAATCTCTAAGGCTCTGACACATAGCTAACGCTCCCTATGTATTGTTGAATGAAAGCCACTTGGTAGTAGCACGTCACAATTCTTACTACAGTAACAACGTGGGGGAAATGTGCTAAAATTGCAACACTAAAGTAGCAATAAATATCACTTCCTATTATGCTTCTATTCTGATTTGCCTACCTTCTCACTCTGGGAGAACCTAGTCAATGTACACCCAGTCTTGGGCAGCCCAGTTCTCTGGGAAGGATGTGGATCAGAGTACAGGAGCTATAACCTGTTGCCATAGAGTCAACTCCGATTCATGGCAATCCCATGTGTTACAAAGTAGAACCTCATATGCAGCCACCATCCGTCAGTGGAGGCTTGCATGTTGCTATGATGCTGAACAGGTTTCAGTGGAGCTTCCAGACTAAGACAGCTTGGGAAGACAGGCCTGGTGATATACTTCTGAAAATCAGTCAATGAGAGCCCTATGGATCACAATGTTCTGATTGGTCTGATTGGCACCAGTCATGGAGATGGTGTAGGACCAGGCAGCGTTTCGCTCTGTTGGACATGGGGTTGCCATGAGTTGGGGCTGACCTGATGGCAGCACGCAACAAGAAAAACCACAGAAAATGAGCGAGTATTTATTGAGTAATTAACCTGACGGCCACAGAACTTTCCAAATATGTTTTTACAAATGTTCTGGTTACTTGACTGAGAAAAAGTGAGTTCTCATTTTAGCCAGCCCTCTCCTCCAATACTGCTAGAAGGCACAAGATTCTAAAGGAAAACACGTTTCAGTCTCAGTTAGGTCCTGTTGGGTTCCTGGAATTGGGGGTGAAGTGACTCTTGAGAGGCTCCCAGCATTTGTAGTAGTTCTCATCCAAACAATTGGAGGTCTTCAGCCCCCACTTGGTGACAGCCATACTTAAGGAAGACTCAAACATAAATGTCTGTAGGAAATGAAAATGGGTTAGAAAAGAACAGGTGAGATGGGTCATACAACACACTTGATTAGATGTCAAGAGATAAGTGGGCAGGCAAAATCTTTGGGTAATAAACTGTGTGTGCTAGCATGGCGAGGTGAACAGGCTCAAGCCCTCGGTTCTATCCCTGGTCCTATCACTTACAAACTGGTGAGAACTTGTGCAAGACCGTTAACTTCTCAGAGCCTCAAGTTTCCTTTTGTAAAATGGAATTGGGCACTTCAGCTTCACATTGTCCTCACAGCATCATGGAGCTAAATTTGCTAGATCTAAGAGCAGAGGTGGGAGAGTCCTGGGAATACAGTTGTCCCTTGGTATGAACAGTGTTTGGCTTTGAAGTGGAATAGTGATGGTCAGGCCCTGGTGGTACAGTGGTTAAATGCTGGGCTGCTAATTGAAAGGTCAGCAGTTCAAACCCACCAGCTGCTCTTTGGGAAGAAGATGGGGCAGTCTGCTTCTGTAAGACTTACAGCCTTGGAAACTCCATGGAGCGGTTCTACTCTGTCCTATAGGGTTGCTATGAGTCAGAATTGAGGGCAATGGGTTTAAGATAAAGGTAGCAAGAAGTAGATAAAACTTGGAAACAACCCAAGTGTCCATCAACAGACGAATGGATAAACAAAAATGTGGCAGGTCCATACGATGAAATATTATTCAGCCATAAAAAGGAATGAAATTCTAGGATATGCTACAACATGGATGAACCTTGAAAACATGATGAGGGAAATCAGCCAGACACAAAAGGACAAATATTGTATGATCTCACTTATAGGAAGTACCTGGAATAGGCCAATTCATGGAGGCAAAGAGTAGACTAGAGGTTACCAGGGACTGTAGGGAGGGGACTGCCCATTTCTCCAAGACATAGGCTGGGAAAACTTCAAGGATCAAGGAGAGTGAGGAGGAGGAGGCACTTTGAAAAGTCCTATCCCAGATGGGCCTGGCTGGGGGCTGTTCCGCTCTGGAAGGTCATTGTCTGCAGCAGAAGGAACACGCAAGTGCCCTGTGCATCTTAGGCATTCCAGCCTCACCAAATGCTGATTCTCCTATCCACTCTGCCTTAAAAAAATAAAACAGAAACCAAACAAAGCCCTACAGTTCTTACATATTCACATTGTTGGAAATTTAAAAACTAGAGATGGGCAAAGGGAAGATAATAAAATTCTCTTGTGTCACAACCCAGGTGCCCACGTTACTGTTTGGTGTCTGGCAGACATTCATTTCTTTTTGCCTAAGACAATGGAAATGATTTTCCCTGCCTGACTTCCTGTGACAGGCTCGATGTCAGGATCAGATGGGATCATATGGAAGTGCTATGCGAATTCTAAAGCACTATGCAGATATAAGGGTCATTACTGTGGCCATTATTATTGTCTCTTTGCTGACTGCTTCTTAGGAGCCTGTCTGTCTGGAGTAACAAAATCTCCATCTCAGCTGAGCAAGGGAGACAGTATTGTATCAAGTTAATTGCTCCAAAATGGAATAAGGATAAGGCGTATAGATGGACACGGGTCTAAATTATGTAATGTGGAATGATGAGGGAGACCCAAAGTTGGGTCAGGGTAAAATGTTGGACCCTCCCCCTCCAAGTAGGTCATGCTCCCTAGCTATCCAGGGCCTCCCGTCCCTCCATTCCCTTCTCCCTACATGAGAGAGCTCTTGCTCACAAGCATTCCAGGCTCTAGATGCTACCCAAAGTCTCGCTCCTCATAGAAACAGCCCTGTCCTGTACCTCACTGTCGCCGAACACTGCTCTCTGCTAACACTGACTATCCAAAGCCACTTTGGGGCACCAAAGGCTATTGAGCGGCTCCTCTGGGGTAGCCTGTGCACCTCCAGGAGGCTTCCAGAGGCAATAACTTAACCAAGATGATCAAACAGCGTCTCACAGAGACATAAAGGTTCTACAGAAATTCCACAGAGGCCCCTGCCAGGGAAGATAGAGCTGAGGTCACGAAGATGGGCTCTGTGCACCCTCCCCCTCCACAGCAGCTCCACTAACTCTGACCCCGGGGATGGCACTGAAAGCTGCCTGCCTTGGACAGATGGACAGATGGACAGATAACGCTCACTGCTTGGGTTGTTTGCAAACTGGGTGCGAAGTCAGGCAGGTAGGTCTTCGCTACAGGTTTTGTAAAGTCAGGTAGCACTGAAGACATTTGATTAAAAATGTAAAGCAAATTTGCATATGATTTAGCATAAAATTACTCCTCGTGGTCCATAGCTCTACCTGCAGGAATGCAGAAATAAAATAAAATCAAGTACCGCAGCCAGCTGCAATTGTGTTCAGCCTCAGTGTCTACAGCCTGACACAGGAGGAATACAAAACAGGTTTTAAATCCCATCAGTTTCATCCCATGTCAAAGCAAAGCAAAGGAAAATGAGAAAACAGCCGAGAACTGCTGTTCACAAGCCCTGACTTAGTGAGGCAAAGGCTTCCTGACTCTCCTCGGCTTGAGAAATCAACGGAAGTGACATCCTGCCTCCCCGGCCACTGTGGTCCTAGAGGACTGCTTCAAAAAGCAGAAGACTCTGAGACATAACTTATGACAGAGCTGCATACAGATAAGGCAAGACCTTTCACATAGTATTAATAATATCTCCTTACATTTGCACAGCGTTGAACGGTCTGTAAGGTTCTTAACTCACAGCCATGTGCTGGGTTGGATATAAAACCCGTTCTTCAGATGGGGGAAACGAAGCACAGAGAAGTTAAGCGACTTGTTCAAGGACACATAGGAACTAAGAGCTAGGATTTGAATCCAGATCTGACTCTAAGTTCAAAGCTCTTTCTACCATACCACACCAGCAGTCTAGTACACACACAGGCGTGTATGCATACACACATGTGAACATACACACCCAGACACACAACTCTCCTGATTCCTCCTCTGTGACTTTGAAGAAATAAAAAAATAGCCACTCCTCTCTCAAGGAGGAGGAGCCCAGAGGCCACCCAGAGCTTGGCATTGAACTTGCTTACCATGGTGCCATCAGCAACCCTCTCAGGTGCCAGCTTGGCCTTGCTGGCCTTCTCAAAGCAGTCAGCGTCGGGCCCGTGGGGGGTCATCGTGCTGTGCAGGCTGCCTCCTCCCGGCAGGAAGCCACCTTGCTTTGCCTCATAGTGACCTTTGATGAGTCCCATGAATTCACTCATGCAGTTCCCTGGGAAGGGTAAAATAATATTTTTATAATCCAAGGCAAGACCAGCAAAACACCAAAATGCCCTCAAACATTGTTTCGACAGAATGTCAAGAGGACAGGAGAGTCTGATAAATTTTACAGGATTAATAAAGAATAACTAGTAAACGAGTTGCTGTCAAGTCGACTCTGACGTATAGACACCCCATGTGTTTCAGAGTGTTTTCAGACTGTGCTCCACAGTATTGTCAATGACTTGATTTTCTAAAGTAGCTCTCCAGGCCTTTCTTCTGAGGCACCTCTGGGTGGACTTCTAACCTTTTGACTAGCAGCTGAGTGAGTGAACTGCTTGCCACTCAGGGACTCTGAATAAAGGATACAGATCAACAGAAAAACAACACAAAACAGTCATCAGTATGAAATTCTTGGTAGGCAGAGCTCTGCCCAGGGACTGTGTGGATTATCAGAGGTCTTAGTTCCAGTGTCTAAAAGAAACTAGGCTAAAGAAAACCAGCGCCCAGACAAGAATTTTAATAACAATGAAAATGCAAATTATAGCGAAGAGTGGATGTACGCCATCATCTAAGCTTACAATCCCCATATCAAAGTTGTCTTCTCTCCCAGGTCAAATCCCTTTTTCCGATAGCCCCATTCTGCTGGCATCACCAAGGTCCCTAGGTGGCACAAAACATTTGTGCTCAACTACAAACCTGAAAGTTGATGGTCTGAATCCACCCAGAGTTACTGCAGAAGGAAGGCCTGCTGATCTGCTTACATTAAGATTGCAGCCAAGCAAACACTATGGAGCGGCTCTGCTCTATAACACATGGGGTTGCCAGGAGCTGGAATTGACTCGATGGTAATAGGTTTGGTTTTAGTTTAGTGGCATCACCATATTTCTGGTTCCCAGTCTAAAAAGCTGAAGTGGTGTGTGTGTATGTCGATGGAGGAATGATGTAATGGAAAGAATCCTAGATTTGGAGTCCATTATCAAATGATAATCTGTGTGAAAGAATCTCGGTATTTGTAAAACGCGGTCTGTAAATGTTATCCCATTGCATTCGAGTCCATTACGACTCAGAGCAACCCTGCAGGACAGAGTACAACTGCCCCATAGTGTTTCCAAGGCTATAAACTTGACAGAAGCCGACTGCCACGTCTTTCCCCCACAGATCGGCTCTAGGTTCAAACTGCCGACCTTTTGATCAGCAGCCGAGTAGTGCCATCAGGGTTCCTGGTTGTTAGGTGCTGTTGAATCAGCGCTGACTCATAGTGACTCTGTGTACAACAGAACGAAACACTGCCTGATCCCGTACTATCCTCACAATTGTTGCTGTGTTTGAGCCCATCGTTGCAGCCACTGTGTCAATCCATCTCGTCGAGGGTCTTCCTCTTTTTCACTGACCCTCTCCCTTACCAAGCATGATGTCCTTCTCCAGCAGCTGGTCCCTCCTGATAACATGTCCAAAGTAAGTGAAACAAAGTCTAGCCATCCCTGCTTCCAAGGAGCATTTTGCATGTATGTCTTCCACAACAGACTTGTTCACTCTTCTGGCAGTCCATGGTATATTCAGTATTCCTTGTCAGCGCCACAATTCAAAGGCATCAATTCTTTTTCAGTCTTATTCATTGTCCAGCTGTTGCATTGCATATGAGGCAAATAAAAATATCATGGCTTGGGTCAGGCACACCTTAGTCCTCAAAGTGACATCTTTGCTTTTCAGCACTTTAAAGAGGTCATTTGCGCAAATTTTCCCAGTGCAATAGGTTATTTGATTCTTTGACTGCTGCTTCCGTGGGAGTTGACTGTAGATCCAAGTAAATTGAAATCTTTGACAATTTCAGTATTTTGTCTTTTTATCATCATGTTGCTTATTGGTCCAGTTGTGAGGATTTTTTTTTAAAATTTTTTTTTGTTGTACTTTAGATGAAGATTTACAGAACAAACAGTTTCTCATTAAACAGTCAGTACACGTATTGTTTTATAATATTGGTTAACAACCCCATTTCATGTCAATACGCTCCCTTCTCAACCTTGGAGGACCTTTTTTTTTGGTGAAAATATACATAGCCGAAGTTACACCATTTCAAAAATTTCTACATGTACAATTCAGTGACATCGATTACATTCTTCCAGTTGTGCTGCTATTCTCACTATCCTTTTCCAAATTATTCCATCACCATTATCTTCCACTCACTGCCCCCTAGGCTTCTCATCAAACCTTCTGAGTTGCTATTGTCAATTTGCTCTCACATAGATAATAATTCTTTTTTTTTTTTTTTTTGTGCCTTAGATGAAGGTTTGCAGAACAAATATTTTCTCATTAAACAGTTAGTACACATATTGCCCTATGACAATGGTTAACAACCTCATGACATGTCAACATTGTCCCTTCTCAACCTTGGGTTCCCTATCACCAGCTTTCCTGTCCCCTCGTGCCTTCTAGTCCTTGTCCCTGGACTGCTGTGCCTTATTAGTCCCATTTTGTTTTATGAGGCTGTCCAATCCCCGGCTGAATGGTGAACTTCAAGAGTGACTTCATCACCAAGCTAAAAGGGTGTCTGGGGGCCATACTCTCGGGGTTTCTCTAGTCTGTCAGGCCAGTAAATCTGGTCTTTTTTTTGTGAATTAGAATTTTGTTCTACATCCTTTTCCAGCTCTGTCCAGGACCCTCTATTGTGATCCCGGTCAGAGCAGTCGGTGGTAGCCAGGCACCATCTAGCTGTACTGGACTCAGTCTGGTGGAGGCTGTGGTAGCTGTGGTCCATTAGTCCTTTGGACTAACCTTTTCATTGTACCCTGTTCTCTTCATTCTCCCTTGCTCCCGAAGGGGTAAGACCAGTGGAGTATCTTAGACGGCTGCTCACAGGCTTTTAAGACCGCAGACGCTACTCACCAAAGTAGAATGTAGAACTTTGTTTTTATAAACTGTGTTATGCCAATTGAGCTAGATGTTCCCCGAGACCATGGTCCCCACAGCCAGCAATTCAGTCCTTCAGGGAGTTTGGAAGTGTCTATGGAGCTTCCATGACCTTTCCTTGTACAAGTTAGGCCAGATTCCCCAGTATTGTGTACTGTCTTACACTTCACCAAAGTTACCACTTACCTATTGTCTATTTAGTTCCCTTCCAGCCCTCCCATCCCTCATAACCAACAAAGATTGTTTCTTTTTATGTGTAAACTTTTACATGAGTTTTTACAGTAGAGGTCTCATATAATATTTGTTCTTTTGTGATTGACTTATTTCACTCAGCATAATGTCCTCCAGTTTCATCCATGTTATGAGATGCTTCACAGATTCATCATTATTCTTTATCTTTGCATAATACTCCATTGTGTATATGTACCATAGTTTGTTTATCCATTCTTCTGTTGATGGGCATCATTTTGCTATTGTGAACAGTGCTGCAATGAATATGGGTGTGCATACGTCTATTTGTGTGACGGCTCTTATTTCTTTAGGATATATTCCTAGGAGTGGGATTGCATTTTGTAATGCTTTTTTTTTTTGTGGTGCTGACATTTTCTTTGTTCCTCTTACTCTCCTGTGCTGAGTTCCTTTTGTTTGTGGATTTTTTTTCATTTCATTTCTTTTTGTAGGTTTTGTTTTTACTGAAACTTTATGTTTTTCTTCTTTATTTTGATGAGCGGGTTTGTTAACTTTCTTTGTGGTTACCTTGAAATTTACCCTTATCTTTCTAGATTTGAACCGGTCTATTATTACTTGGTATCGCCTTGCCGTCGTCTCCATTAGAAGGTTCTATACCTACACCATTTATTCCCTCTCTTATTGTTCTGATGTTGTTGTCATTTACAGATTTACCTCTCTGGTTCCCTGTTGTAATAATTTTGGTTTTGCATAGTCCTTGATAGTTCATTTTCTAGGTTACTATCTGGATAGTACAATACTGTTTCCTATAGTCAGCCTGTGGTCTGATGTTGTTTGTTCTCAGATTGAAGGACTCCCTTTAATAATTCTTGTAAGTTTGGTGTGGTTTTTACACAGTACCTTAATTTCTGTTTATCTGGAAATGACCTAATTTCACCAAGATTTTATATATGTCATCCCATTGCCTTCTTGCCCACGTGGTTTCTGCTGAATAATCCGAGATTAGTCTTATTGTTTCTCTTCTGTATGTGACTTTTTGTTTTTCTTGAGCTGCTCTCAGGATTCTTTGTGTCTTTGGTTTTAGCGAGTGTGATTATGATATGCCTTGGTGATTTTCTTTTGGTGTCTATCCTGTATGGAGTTCGTTGAGCTTCTCGGAAATGAAGAAAGACCAAAAGGGAGTAAGAGAGAGAAGAAAACAAAACAAAGAAACCAAGAACAAACAAACGAAAAAACCAAACCAAAAAACAAGAAAAAAGAAATGTCCCCAGGGATGTCCCTGTGCATCTGTGCAGAGTAAGGGAGTAGCTTCCAAGGTGCGTGGTACTGCCCGGCTAGAAGGGGCTCCCAATTGGAGAAAACAAAAGGAAAACAAACAAACAAATCAAAACAGAATGAATCAGAGCAAACAAACAAACAAGCAAAACAGCCCTGGGCATCCCACCAGCATGGCAGCACAGGCCAGGAAGCAGTTTCACAGTCAAGCAGTGTTTTGCAGCCTTTCAGGAAGAAGCAAAGATGGCGCACGGAGCCTGATATTTGAGAGAAAGGAGGGAGAGGTGGCGAGAGGTTAGGAAGAAATCTAAAGAAGCGGAAAAAAGCAACACCAGCAGCCAACAAAAGGCACTCAGGGAGCTGGCCAGGGCGGATGGGTGAATCCAAGTGACACAGAGGTGAAGCTGTTGCTTCCAGCCCAAGAGACTGTGGTTGCAGGAAGCAGAGGAGGCTAAGTGGGGGTGAAGAAGGGTGGGGGGTGGGAAAGCGTATATTGCTGGTTACCAGTTGTTCTGTCTCCTGCTGGAAGCTCCTTGAAGCTGCTTTCTCATACCCCCTGTTGGGTGATCTCCGATAGGAGTCCCAGATGGCAGATCCGTGCTGCAGTAGCTGATAGGGGACCTCTGTATGTATCTCTCC